GTATACAATCAGGAACATCCTCGACGAGCGACTTGTAAAGGGCCGTGTGGAGTATTTGGTGGACTGGGACGACAATCAGAAGACAGGAGAAGCATACTCCCCTACCTGGGTATGTTCCCGTTGTCCTACCGAGAAGCCTCCTTGAACAGCGCTAACCATCTGTCTGGCACTTTAGAGCCGAGAAGTTACAGACGCAGCCCGAGACGAGTGGGAGCAGAGAAAGCGGTCACGCGTGACTGAAGCGACTGAGGTTCGGACCCAAGATAGCCAGGACAGCCAGCCGCCTCGACCGTCCAACTGGCGACATCTCCAGAGACCCCAGACAGCTGGCCCGTCTGGCGCATCTCGTCGACGACGGTCTCCTTCCGACGGCGTCGACACACATCGCCCTGCCAAGGTTGCCAAAGTCGCACATAGTGCCACGCCATCAGAGGAACCCGTGCCATCTATTGTATCTATATCTTCTCCTGATAGCCTTGACGACCCTGACGGCCTCGACCGTCTTACGCAACAAAGCTTGAATGCTCCGCGCTCTCAACAGCTTGTTGTTGAGCTCGAGATCAAGTCGGACTTTGATACGTCAGAATACGCTAGCCAACACAATACCCAGAGCAGCAGCCAGTCGTCGCAGCCAATTGCTGAGTTGGAAGAACAAGACGAGCGGAGTCTCTTTGCCTCTCAGCTTTCCCGACAAACTATTCCTGATTCGCAAGAGCCTTCTGGACAGACCTGGACGCAGGATAAGCAAGTGACTAGCCTTGCACCATCCTTACAAGCTTCACAGGGCGGAATATCTGAGCACGAGCCTCAAATTTATAGTTGGGCTCAGGCTTCTTCTCAGCGCGCTGGCCACAACGAGGAACCGCCTACTTCATCTCCCCGGGATAGTTCCAATTACAGGGACGAGGAAAAGAGGGACCGGGATCAATCCAACTCCAACATCCCGTCTCATCAGCCTGCCCAGGAGGAAGCGCAGTCCCTTGTTGCAAGCCAAGACTTCGACCCAAGGGCACCTGCAACAAAACCGCAATCTGTTCAGTCTCCCCAGGGAAACGAGAATCTTGCTGCTATCCCCACTATCAGTCCCGTGTTTCTTTCCCAAGTGGTGGCAGCTGAATTTAATCTTCCCTCGAGTTCGATCTCTAGCCAAGAATCTCCCCATAAAAGTGTGGTTGTCGAGACTCCGTCAGACACCAAACAAAACTCGGCCAGCACCCACCCACTGACTACTGATCTTGCTGCAGAATTTCGGGACCAATCTCAGGGCGAGTCCCAGGACGCCCAGGTGCTCCAAATCGACCCGTTTGTCTCGCACGTAAGGGCCTTCTCTGTCAGCCACGACACAGCCCACACATCACCCACATTATCTCCTCCGAAAATTGATTCACAATCTTCGCCCGAGCCTCCTTTCGCCATCGCAATGGAAAGTCATAGCTCCGCGAACCCGACGCCACAACCATCAGCTGTTGATGAGCTGAGCCAAATCCTCAACTTGGATAAGGTCATGGCTGAAGGCCCATCACATCCTCCAGAAGAACATCCTGCTGAACACTCTACGCCTGCCGAGATCCCAGCTACCAATCCAAGTATCCAGGACCATGACCAGCAGCCTTTGTCTGCTGAACATGAATCTGCAGGCCCTCAAAGTGAGCAACTAGCATTAGACCCCCCGTTGGTTTCCCGGATTTCTGCCGTGGTCTCAATGAAGAGTATCGTTGACGCAATCTTTGCACATCCAGATTTACCTGCCTCTAGCACAATGATGCTGGACGCGCTACATAATCCTCAGCCTGAGTTGTCCACCGTGTCACCAGCAGACATCTCAAAACAGCCCGATCTCGCTGCTCCTCTACCTCTAATGCCGTCACTACTTACTCACGACAACCTTTCTTCAAACGCCACGAGAAGCTCTGGCGTGTCTGTCCCAATGGGACAGCCTCAACAAGACCAGGAGTCAAGCGATGATTCTGGTGATGAATCTCAGGAACCCATCACACTCAGGCATATAATCACACTGCCTTTCCAGGCCAGTCTGAGGCCACTGTATGATGACACCTTGCTCGAATCAAAGAGGGAGGTAACACAGTTTGGCGCCATATTCAATAGCGAGGACTATGTGGAGCCAGACGAAACTCTCGTCCAGAAAATTGACCAAGTATTTAGTCGGCTGCACAATATCTGCGACTATCCCCCGGATGCAGTGGGTAGCGCCCTTGAAGATTTACCCTCTGACCAGCTCATTAAATATTGCTACGATGCGAACCCCAAGTTCAATTTTATATATGAACTCCTGCAAGGGCTTACCCAGGATACTGAAGTTCTAATTGTAGCCAGGTCTACTGATCTACTCAGGCTCCTCTACCGCCTAACCGAGACACTACAGATCAACTGCGTCTGTGAAGAGATTGGTAAATCTAGAAGTGAGTTTACTTCATCTATAGCCAGGGTTACTCTTATTCTTCCAGGAAAGAATGTTGAGGAAGATGACTTTGACATTGTGATTGGATATGATCACTCCTTCGGTGGCTCGGAAATTCAGAAGAAGCTGGAGCCAGAGATACCAGAAGCGCGGTCACCAATGGTGTTGATATTGGTCACCACACACTCTATTGAGCACATCGACCTCTACATCTCCGATGATTTGACACCCTTGGAAAGGAAGAATGCCCTCATGTCTGGGATAGTGCGGTCCAGACACCTTGTGAGCGACCCCGATCGTGGATACTCAGAGCCACACGAGATTGCCAGCTTATTCCTCGACTATTTGAACGGACAGACCGAAGAAATAACCTGGAAGCCTATACCTGTCCCCGAAGACGTGATGGATATCTATCTCAACTCCCAGTCACGCTCGCAGATGCCGGTCGAGGGAACACCGGAGCTTGAGAATGCCCGAAAGCGCAAACTTGTAAGCTAAACCCCTCACATCCAATGACAACAATTTCGTTAACAATTTATAGGATGACTCTGATGATGAAGATGTGAAGCGAATGCGTATTTTGCCACACAGGCAGTCGACAGTGCAGACAAACGAGGCCCCAGTACCCGATGATGTAAAGGCACTACTAGACTCTGCAAACATCGAAAACACGCCCCTCAAGGCTTCTCATGTTCATATCAGCGTGCCAATATCTGTCTTACAAGTCTTGGCTGAGAAGGTATGAGATTCCACTGTATACCCTTTAAAGCAGTTGGGGCTCCAGCGATGTATCTTTCAAGCATTTGGGCCAATAGCCATTTCCTGCTCATCCATACATCTACAACGGGAGACAAAAAGCCTTTCACTAGATCAGGTACCTGGCTATCGCGCTCTATACTAATATATTATAATATAAGTCGTGATAGCCAGGTACCTGATTTGGTTAAATGTTTTTTGCCTCCCAACATACCTCGTTTGGGCCTTAACGCTTTAAAGGAATGAAGAATTCCTTTGCTAACTTCTTCAGAACAATGAGCTCAAGCGTCAACTAGAGGCAGCAGACAGAGACGCAGAGTACAAAAGTCTTATCTCCGGACTCGAGGCCCGCATCAAGGAATACCAGAGGACAAACGCAAGGGTGTACTCGTCACAACGAGAGGCCCTAGAAGACCGCATCAAATTTGAGCGAGAAACCCGCAAGGCCGAGTCCAACCTTGTCCAAGCCAACGAAACGGCTCAGCGAGACGCGGAAAGGGCCCAAAAGAAGATTGCTGACCTCGAAGCAACCGTTGCCCGCCTAACTGCTGACCCTTCCCACCCAGACGAACCGTCTCCCCTATCCAAAACTCAAACGCTCCTTCAAGAATCCCTCGGGAAAATCGTCATGCTGGAAAAACGTCTCGAAAACGCCCACAAGGACGCCGACTACGCCCGTAGTCTCTACCAAGACGCAACTGCCACATCTAGTGCCCTGCGTGGCGAAAACGCTGACCTCAGTGAACAAGTCGCCGAACTGTCCAAAAAGACGCCAGAAACACTAGGCAAGGTTCACGAGATTCAGGCAGATGCCACAATTAAGACATATCTCCATCAGATTCAGGGTCTGAGGACGCAGCTTCGCGAGCGGGAGCTTGAACTGGACTACACCAAGGAAGAATTGCGGACATTGAGAAATGGACGCAGGGAGACTCGACAGGTCAGCGTGCCACGGAGCCCAAGAATGGGCGTGATGAGTCCCAGAACGGGGAGGGCGACATACGGCAGCGCAGGCGGTTCGACTAGCAGAGGCACGAGCCCGGCTCCTACAAATGTGGAGGGCGCGGGTGTGCTAGCAGGTATGCAGTTTTTGGGGCAGCCTGCGAATGGGAGGTGGCAGCATCTTAGGGACTGAGTGGCAGGCAGCGAGTTTGGTGCAGAATACTCTGGATACGAGGGATAGTGAGGACGTTTTTTTTTTCTGCATGCCAGTTTGCCTGGTTGGCGTTTGGGTTGGACTTGTAGCCCTGCCTGTCGATATGATTTGTTGAGGGCCCTTAGCCTACAGTGGGAGGCAAACCGTATTTAACCACATCAGGGGCCTGGCTATCGCACTCCATGCCGTAATGTACCACAGTATATCAGTATATACTTCTTGACGGGCAAATATATTCTGCTACACACTGTACATCTGCGAGATCTTGAGCCTCGATATTGAATTCAGATTCCATCTTGATTTGTGAACGGTAGCGCCGTCTCCTTTGAGGTGTCATCGGGTTCAATAGGCAGCAGCTGTGGGATGACAACATTAACATATCAAATTGTGATGGCCCCAGTTGAAGAACCGGTTACTGCAGAGATGGTACCGTCCAATATGGATTATAATATAACACACTGGATTGCGGCTTGTTCCTTTTGTCAAAACAACCGATCCCCCCGGTCTATCTTTGCCCCCCTGTCGATCCGCCTAGAATAACATGTACAAAACGATTTGTTTCAACCCCGTGGCAGCAAACAAATTACTCCTTTACAAGAAACATCGCCTCCCCCAACAACAACTCTTCTTCCCTGCTCTTAGAGTCCTGGATATATTTTAATATTGATTTTATTTCCCCTCGGGATACAGGTCCTCCTTCAGGGGAACGCCGAGCTCTTCCCGGAGGCTCTTCAGCTCGTTGAGATATTGGTCGTACTGGCCCTTATTTTCGACCTTGGCCTTGACGCCTAAATGGAGATGCCGAGTCAGCGCCAACGAAAATGATGTGTACCTAGGGGTAGCAATGGGTATTCCGTGCGAGCAGTTGGGCGCAATGCCAGCCGCCGAGTGATGCACCGACATGTCAATTGGTTGCAGCATCAGACGTACCCTCAAAGATGCGGACAGCAGTAGCAAAGTCGTTGACCCTCCGGGCGGCCTTGAGGGCGGCGGCAATGACGGAGGTGGAGGGGACGAGATCGTAGGCAAAGGCGTTGTTCAGGTTGCGCTGGCCAATGGCAATTAGTACGAATCATATGACTGCGATGACCCGAATGGGGTGGTGGTTGGACGGGGGGCCGCGGCGTTAAAAGCTCGCAAGCAAAAACGTACCTGGAGCTCAAAAACATCCTGGACGCCGTCAAACTCCTTCTCGAATCTGAATTTGATAATGGGTTAGCCATTGACGCTTCTAGGAATACATTTTGCATCTTCCGGGGTGTCTTTTGGTATGGGGGGTTGGCATTTGCAGCGCAGCAAGAATATTGCGCTCATCCGGCCCGGCCCAGCTAGGCTTCTTCGCGTCATTGCAAGTATCCGGACATCGGCAATTCCGGGTACGCTCCGCACGGAAAAAGGCACCAATAAAAAGCGAACCGGTACCGTATAAAATTCGGTAGCTGCAGCCACGTATATAGAGACAAGGCAATGGCTCACCTGGCAGTGAACTCCTCAAAGGTCTCCTCGGCGTGCTCGCCTCGTCGGGGCATTGAAGTGCTGAAGGCGCGGACCATTAGGGGCTGGGCGGCGGGACGAGCGGCGGCGCGAAAGAAGGTGGTTGAGCCGCGAGCGGCAACGCGAAGCATGGAGGCGGCAGGCATCGTGGGACCTGTGTTGAGGAGGGTGCGGCGAAAAGAAGAGGTTGTTGTCGATGGTGGTGATGTGGAACTCAAAGGGCGGTTGTGCGTTTTTTTGGGCCATGGTCTTTGGCTGCAGATGTTCGGAAGTAGATGGGCTGATGTGAATGACTAAGCCGTTTGTTGGACGACTCCGGGACAGGGTAGTGGAGCCGTGCGAATTGGGTTTCTGTAGCGCCGAGTATGTACAATTAAAAGGGAATCTTTACAGTGCTTTTTGTCACGGATACTGTGAGTCGACTTGTCTCGTTGACAACGCTTTGATTTTGCCCGTTTCCAATTCGTCGCAAGCAAAGCAACCGCCTTTGGCACGGCTACGAGTGGTCCATTCATGTCCATTCGTTGTCCATTTTGTTTGGCTGGCCCTGACTGGGCCGGTTTGCCCATTAACCCGGATAATGATCAAGTTTGAAGTCGGCTGCACGTTGACTTCGAGCCTTGCAACCTCAATTTTCTGGCCACAAGTCACGGAGAGTCCGACTTTAGGACTTTGAGCTAATTGGTTTGCGCCTCCGACAGCCGCACTGATGGCATTATGGAGTGCGGCCCGCGTCCGATGCTGTGGACTTCAGGACCAAGTATACGGAGGTGAGTCAATACTAGTACTACCTAAGTAGGTAGTTATGCCACCATCATCTTTGATGCACTCCGCAAAGTTGTCGTTTCGAGGCCCTGTCATCATCATCCTTTCCCATAGCTGTCGCCCGCTTACTCCTTGCACGACAAGAAGCGGCTTCGTCTTGTATCTCTTATCTGAGATTGCTCACTCTCGAGTGTCACGGACATGACGACAACACGGCGGCCACTTGCCCGAGCTTCATGTACTTAAGTACCTAGGTAGACAGACAGCACACTCAGAAGGTTGCAATGTAGAAGGCACTTGGCGGCAATTTTTTCACGCCGAGGTCCAGCCCCCTCCCCAGACAAACCGTGCCTTACCATTGAACCTCCACAGAGTCATTTAAAATTCAATTCAATTTCAAGACAGCTGATGCTGGAGAGACGCTAGCAGAGGACCGGCTATCCAGGTACTCCATACCGATGCCACTAACTAGGCTCTTCTTGATTACCGAGCGCGCAAGACGCCTAGCCAGGTACCTAATACTTTTAAAGAAGCTGAGCTCCCCCAGCTCCTTATCCCGGCTCACGTGATGCATCTCAAAAAAAGCGAAAGATTGCGGACAGGGGACGGTGATTGGACGGCACGCCAACCCCGACGAATCACATGCGGGTTGCTAGATGTGCAAGAGCTAAATTGGAAGCGGGAACGAAATTTCCCCTTTTTGAGCGCGAGCCAGTTTTGATGCGGGCTTCCAGCCGTTTTGATTCGGTGCCTCCTCGTCATCCTCATTTTCTTCTCCTCCCCTTCCATCTCTCCCTCCCTCCTTCCTTATTGTCCGGTACGTCCGTCATCTTGTGTATTTTATTAATTCTTCGACTGATTGCTTTTTTGTTAGCAAAGGACCATTGGCATTCCGTTTCTTCTAGTCACTCCTTGATTCTGTTCTTGTGTGACCCGCCACGTCCGCACGTTGGTAACGGAGACTCTGTCGCGTCGGAAGCGTGGTTCAACGCCCCCCAAAACTTCAGTCTTATCGGACCCAAGTCGAGTGCATTAAATCAACACCCAAGACGCTTCGATCTTTGCGCCTTGCCACATCGCAGAAATCGAACTTGCTACCATTGCTAGCTTCATATCGGCCCCCAAGTGGCATCATGTCCGGCTTCTTTGAGCAGCTCCCGCTGCCTACGATCGACCGCCCTTTCGGCGTCCATCTATGGCCCATCTTCAGCAAGGCCTGGGAGGCTGTTGTTGGATATCCGGCTGAGGAGTTCAAGTTTGTTCCTTTTGAGACTCCCATGTCGACTCTCAAGTCGACCTCCATCTTCATCGTTGTTTACTACATGATCATTTTTGGTGGCCGCGAGTTGATGCGCAGCCGTGAGCCCTTCAAGCTCAAAGCTCTGTTCCTCATCCACAACTTCTACCTCACTGCCATCAGCGGTATTCTCTTGGTCCTCTTCATTGAACAATTGGTTCCCGAGCTCTACCATAATGGTGTCTTCCATGCCATCTGCCACTATGATGGCGGTTGGACCCAACCTATGGTTGTCTTGTACTACGTATGTCATATTAGATTACACTGGCACTGTGCTTCACTTCTTGCTAACTCAGGCCACAGCTAAACTACCTGACCAAGTATCTTGAGTTGTTGGACACTGTCTTCCTCTTCTTGAAAAAGAAGCCGTTGAGTATGTGTATTCTCAATTGTGAAGGAAAACCACTCGCCGCGACATGGCTAATCTCTTTGTGCCTACAGCCTTCCTCCACTGCTACCACCACGGTGCTACTGCTCTTCTCTGCTACACTCAGCTCATTGGCTCTACCTCTGTCTCTTGGGTTCCCATCACCCTGAACCTGACTGTTCACGTCGTCATGTATTGGTATTATTTCCAGAGCGCTCGTGGCATCCGCATTTGGTGGAAGGAGTGGGTCACTCGTCTCCAGATCATCCAGTTCATCATTGACCTCGGTGAGTAAAGCGCGCACAAGAGGGCGGAAGGCAACTGTTTGCTAATTTTTTTGACGTCTAGGTTTTGTCTACTTCGCCTCATACACCTACTTCACGTCGACCTACTTTCCATGGCTGCCAAATGCCGGCAAGTGCGCTGGTGAGGAATTTGCCGCGTTCTCTGGTATTGCCATCCTCAGCTCGTATCTGGTCCTCTTCATCTCCTTCTACTTCGCCACCTACAAGAAGGGCGGTAAAAGCACCACGCGCAAGTCTTTGCGACGCATGTCCCAGGCTCCTCTTCCCGACCCTCTGCACGTCCAGGCTGCGGTCGCTGCTAACGGCAAGAGCAACGGCTACACTAACGGTGCCACCACCACTGGGGCGAAGGCTCACGGTGCCGCTACTCGCTCTCGCAAGGCATAAAACGTGCCATCGAACCATGTGTGTCAAACATGGACGTGGAAGTACGTGCGCAGTCTTGTGTGAATTTGCAGAGAAGACGCAGTTCAGACATAGATTCGACCGTGGTTGTCCCCGAGGGGCTCTCTAGAGGACAAACAGCTGAACTCTTGGCCACTTACACTCGGTCACCGTGATGGCCACTATGGAATAATTTTCTGCTTTGCTTGTACAAAAGTGAACTTATCTATTCTTTTTATTGGAGAAATTAGGGAGGCTATAATACACGGAGGATGAAGAATTGGATGGACGTCGAATTTGCTAGCGAAGTTCACGGTCCACACTGCCCTGGCGAGGGTGGTTTTTAATACGTCTTTGACAGTCATGACAGCGGGAGGCCGGCTGATGAATGGTACGGTTTCGCATTTGGGTTCAAGGTGTTAGCATGGCAGGACGGTCAGTTTTGGGACAGAGTCTCTGGGCTGAGTTGCGGACCGCAAGGCAGAGCGTCGGGTTTGCAGACGACGGATTGCGACTTGGATCATTTTATTCTGTCGACCTCTGTACAACTGGTGCATAAGAGCGCGCTCCCGGTTTGGAGCATGCATAGCAATTATAGAAAGCGGTAATAAAAGGGATTGGCCATGAATTCGAGTGTGGACCGGTTGACAGCCGAGATATGAATTGGGGACGTGTAATGCGTGGATGCGTCGACAAAAGATGAGGCGAGGCAGAGAGGTGGGCTGCACCAGATGGCGACGTGTTGTTGGAGCTTGCATCTGATCCCTGCTCACTCGACTTGCAGGCCCCCGGCACCAACGCGGACACATTGAAGTGGGATTGAGGCTTTTGCCCCTGGGCCTAAAAAAACTTGGCTCTGGTCCCCCGCTGATAGCCGTATGGTGGGCAAAGCATATGCATGTAGTAGTGCTGTGGTTTCTCAGAGTGTGGCCTTGAATGAATGGATGGATGCCTTGGTGATGATGCTTCATCAATCTGTCGCTTGCCCCGTAAGCGCCCACGAGCTGGGCATTCCGGGGCACGACATGGATATGGATGGTTGCCGCTGCCTCGAGTCCCTGGCCCAGGGTCAATCCTCTCGTCCGTCCTTCAATAGCATGTACCCACACTCATGCACAAGCCCAGGCGTAAGCACAGGCACATGCACGCACTTTGCGCCTGACGGCCATATCGTCGTGTCTTGTTGGCGGCGACATTCTCTTCCCTTTGTTTATTTTTACCTTTCCGTCGATGTGACACGGCACCCTTTGACCTTGAGTGCTCTTTTACAGCCAAACGGAAGGCGTGCCACGGCTGTACGAACCTGCCTGTGCCTGTTGGGCGTCGAGGGACTCCTGGCGAGGAAGGAACGCCCCTCAGCCGCCACAGCCCAAGGCACCACAGAATACCACCCAGCTGCCACCTCGTCCCGTCCAGTCGTTTGTTTGATGCCGAGACAGACAACACAGTGACTAGACAAGAGAACAGACATGTTTTCGCGTTGGACAAAAGAGCCTTGCTTCCCGAGACGAATATAGGTCCCGGCGTTAAAGTTGTATTTAACACCATATCAATCCTCTCTTCATCCAAGTCGCGAAAGCTCGCACCACCACCACCACCACCGCGCGATACAAGCTCCCTTGGACATCAACCATTTATGGGCTTGCCAGGGCAAATATCACCTTCTCTTTCCCCAGTAGCTGCTCATCATGAGACTGCCATTCAGGAAGAAAGACAAGAAGCGGGACGGCCCGTCATCGCCTGTGCCAGCTGAGTTTCGGTCCATCGCCGCACTTGATTCTTTGCGCTCCCCGCCGTCACAACTCTCTGCGAGAATTTTGGCCCAACTGCCCGATGAGGTCCTTCAACGGATTTTCATTTCTGTCTGCCCGCAGGCACTGGATAAGAGCTATGAGTCGTGTGAAGAAAGTGCGAATGACGAAGGCTGTATGCTCTGTGACGTGCGAGACCTGTCGCATTGTACACAGGTAAATAAGAAATGGCGAAGAGTTGCCCTTCAAGTCTTGTACGTTTACATTCAAGCTGTTT